ATATTTTGTTACAAAAATTATTTTTAAAGTGCAAATTATTAATAAATGCAGCATCTAGAGGTGAAGTTGCAGTTTTCTCTAAAGGAAGTCTAGGTCATAATTTACATCGATATCAATAGCTTTTACATTCTAATCGTCAAGACAACACCATCACACGCTATCTCATTAAAGTAAAGGTGCATTGCTATGATGTTAGTGCTGCCTAAACTGGCTCTACAATGTTATAGATATTGTATTTCTTAAGCACAGCATAATCATATAGAAGTGTATTTTATGACTTGTAGTGTGTCTTTCTTTTGAAATCTAGGTCAAAATATCTGCTATTTATCTCTTTGCCAACTCATCACAAAATACAGTTTAGTGAGCAGACCCAAGAATGATATTTTCACACATGCAAATATCCATTTGTATATCATATACACATGGACCTTATAATTGTACATTAAGTATTGCACTGTCTCTGCTAAATCTGTGTGCTTCTGAAAATTTATGAAATAAAGACATTATGTAGTATATTGTTCTGCAAGTAAAATGAGCATCTCGTATTCTCATATCTCAATTCTTTAATGCTTACCAAAATGCATGACCATATTTTTATGAATGTAACACAAAACTGCAGAATTGAGGCCAAAATTATAACGTTAAAAGGGGGGAAAAATACAATTCAGCTGTGGTTGTTTTGAGCTTAATTTCACAATTACATTTTCAGTTCACTCCAGACATTCTACTGCCAGATTTTTAGAATCTGTAATTACATCTTGATTCTATTGTAACTCATTATAATTCGGATTCTACCTCCGGATTCTAAACTGGATTCAGTTACAAGAGATAAACTTAACTCGGGTAACTGAATAGCTTTCCCCCCTTGACATTGAGAGTTTTGCTTATATGCCCTTATTGCTTGTTTTACCCCATTTATTCAGCACTATTGAATATATGGGTGCTTTATTGCCATAATAACAATGATGATAAATCTAGTACATACTAATTAATAAATTCTACATCCCAACTATAATTTGATGCATTTTGTTCCTAGAATCTGGTACAATCTAATAAAATCTACTTAGGTAATCTTTTAGAATCATTTTATACACCCAGAATCCTTTAAAAGCAAATATTTTCTACCGGTTGAGTTTTATTGTAAGTGGTGGGAAATGTTGGAGATTTTAGGAGGTTAGTAATTATTCTGGGAAACACAGAAATTTACAAAACAATTACACCTCTTAAAGAAACCCACAATCGGACAAATAAGCTAAATTGAGCAACTTTGTCCTTAAATTTGCAATTCAACAAACCTCTTTGCAAAGAAACCCCTTAGTAAAACATACATTGCATACTTGTCAAGCAATATAATCTATCGTTGAACATGCAAAGTGTTCCACTGCTAAGTTTTTAATTTTAGGATACCAGATTTCCCCCTTGAAATATTTACTCAGTAAATAAATGATTTATTAACCTAATCACATCTTTCATTTTTTGTGTTCTTTTCTTTTTATTTGCCACCATTCTGCCAGTGTTGATTTGCTGTAGAGCTTGTTCTCACTTTATATTTTGCACCAAGCATGAAATATTAATAGTATTGCTATATAAAAAAAACACAAAATAATTCAGCAGTTGAAAATATACATACTTATGCAAATTTTATATAAACATACACACACACAAACAGATATATTAAATATACATATGCATGCTCACACTTCCCAAACTTCAAGCTCTTAATAAGACTGGTGTCCCGGTTTTAACGTACATTTGGTTGGTTTGTTTGTTTGTTGTAATTATTGTCAATTTCCTCATTGGTATTATACAGACAGTTGACTATGGGTGAGATTGGATACCATTTAAAAAAAAAAAAAAAAAAGCTCACAAAGATATTTTATGACCAGTACAGTCAGTTATTGAAACATGTAAGATTCGGCTATGAATTTGAAGCTTTTGCTTACAAAACGTAGATAAGTATGTCAGGAGACTTGAAGTTACTAATTTTACCAACCCATAAAGCATGATAATTAAAGGGGATCCTTCACTATCCAGGATTTTGAATATTATCTTTTATTGTTCCTTACATTGAGTACATTAAGTAAATAAAAATTGGTGAGGTCGGAAAAATAAAAATTAAACTTTAAAATCCACACTGCTATATTTACTTCTGTCCCGGAGCAGTGCACTTCCATTTTGGCTCCCTGTCAGTCATTATTTAAAAAAAATAACCTTTGTCCCTCTCAATCAGCATAAAAAAAGCACATTGGCAGGATGAGGAATAAAAGAAATGGAAAAATTAATCAGTGTTATCTTGTAAAAAATGGACTAAAGTACTTTAAGTAGGTCAGTCACAATGAAAACTAGTTGGTGCATCACAATTTTAACTCCTCCCATTTTAAATTTGCGCACCACATGTTAAACACAACATGTTTCTGTTTCCCCTTCTTCAATGGGAAGGGTGTCCTGTCTGGAGTGGACTGGATTGTGAGTGAGGTCTTCACTAAAGCTTTTAAAACTTAAAATAAAATGAAGTATCACTTAAAAAAACAGATTAACACAAGTTACAGTTGATTTTCAATGTTTTGTTCAATGGTATAATTTCCAGAGAAGATGTTCACTTTAAAAGGAAATGTCTGGGAGTATCATGTAATAATTATCAAATTTCATTAGAGCTTTTGAAGTACTAGCAGAACATATTTTTTCATATTTGCTGATATATAAATCTTTAACATCATTTAGGAAATTGATAGTTTTGGTTGACTACAACATGTTTTCATGTCGGAGACAATAAATAAGTTCCACAGAAAATTGCATACTATAGTTAACACGGGCTTGCTTTATAAAAGCCAGTAATTCCAGAAAATCTCTCTTAATCATTTGTTATTCTCTATGTTAGCATAATAAAACTCTGTTTTTAGACTCTTTATCTGTGATAAGTCAACTCTACATAATTTTATAGAATTGTGACAACTGTATTCTTATAATTTATTTTTAGGCTGAAAATTACAATACTCTGTCAGTGGTTACCTGAAAGAACCTCAATGCAGTTTCTTCCTGTAATTTGTGAATGTATCTTGGACTAAAGTGTTATAATTTTCTGAAAGTAAGCTATTTACATTATTTGTTACATGAAGTGTTAGATGTACCATTTATTATATCATGAAGTGTTTCAGATTAGTGATGGCTTACCTTAGCATACTTGGTATCTGTGAGCTATAATGCTTGGTCATCTAAATAAACTATTAGAATTTTAGAAAGAATGCATAGAACCAGACACTTGACTCAAAATTATAAACTAAAATCTAAGCTGAATTTGATCAGTTGAACTATGAATTTCATCCTGAAACACCATCTCAATATACTTCTTCTTTGTTCTTTATGGTGTCCAAGTTCTAGATCTTGATTGTAGGTAGCACTACAGACAACAGTTTTATTTTAAGCATAAAATTCTATGCTATTTTCTTAAATGTGTAAGTACTGTATGCTCAAACCATGTATGTGTCCACAGAACCATAGCCTTCAGGAAATTCAACATAATTCTGGAAACCTAAAAATTCAGTTCAGGTATACTCAAAACGACTAAGATGACAGATAGAGAAATTAGAGAATACATTTGCAGGGAATCTCCTTCTTCCTCAGAATTCTTCCTATTTTCTATTCTTTTACCTTTCCAACCTCTTCTGATCTCTTGCTTCACCTTAATTGGTCATGTGTTGAATTTCTCCAGTTTTAACTGGTTAGTCCTTTCTCTCACTCTTGAGATATGTCAGTACATATATATATATATTGACAGTAGTAGTCCCAGTTGTGATAGGAGCACTCGGGGCTGTGACTCCCAAGTTGGGGGAGTGGCTTCAACAGATTCCATGTGGGACATCTGAGATCACTGTCCAGAAGAGTGCAGTTCTAGGAACAGCTAAGATACTGCGCAGAACCCTCAAACTCCCAGGCCTCTGGTAGAGGACCCAAGAATGAGGAATAAACATACCAACCAGGAGAGGTGAGAAAAAAAATATATATATATAGGTGTATATATATATATATATATATATATATATATATCCCCTAAAATATAGGCTTTCATGTTGTCTTGTGTCCTGGGTCAGCCATTGAATAATAGCATTACAGGGTGAAGGACCGTTTTTGTGGGTAACAGCAAGCATTGCAATACTGGAATTTATTATTTTTTATTATTATTATTATCATTACTTGCAATAAGGTGTACCTTGCAGGCATGGCGTACCCTGTTGATATATTAGGTAGTTGCAGTCATGAAGAACTGGAGAGCTTGTCAGAAGAATACCTCTCCGATCTGCGATGTTCTGATTCCGACAATACAGAGTATTTTTCTTTTTGGAGATACGGAGATCCCTATTAGTCTTTCCACAGTCGGTTTTGTACCACTCTATGGAGGAGATCAGATACACAAAATTCTTGCTCTTTTTGCACCAGAAGACACTCTTACAGTGGTGGCTCTGTTTCTTGCTGACCAGTGGTGGGCAGTCAATGACATAGTAAGAACATCAAATCTGTCAAGGGAAGGCCTTAAGCAGGTCAGATCACTTGGAGAACGAGTGGTGCTCTATGTCCTTAATCGAATTATGTATCATAAGCAAGAGATGGAGAGACACTAGGTTCCATTCCTGTGTCACAGCCGCATGGATTAGGCCAGGATTCTGTGGAGAAAAGGAGAGGCCATTGGATTTTATTCTGTGAAACCTGCAGGAAGTTCCTGTGCTGCATATCTCACACAAAGTTATTTGCTCCCGGTTCTGGATACCATGTATGTCAGGAAAAGGTATCATAGTAAACAATTTGGGCTGCAGGTGCTGGAGGATTTTGTGGACTCATTTACAGAAGACACTCTTGGCTTGAGATACCCATTATCATCCTGTATGTACACAGCCTGCAAGCAGTATTTAGAAAAATACCCCAGTGATCAGGAACTGCTGTAGGAGGTGGAAGGAGCTGGCCACTGGTTTCAGAGAACTCTTATCTCCAGTATACTTCAGAATGAAATGCGAAGATTATCAGTTACCGAAACAAACAAAAATGAGGAATGCTCTGTAGTTGTTACATCGGCGCCTCCTGGTGGAAATGCAGAGCATAATGCACAGAGCGTAGAGTATCACAGCCATGACAGTGAGACTTGCTTAACAGGGGATATACAGGTAGAGCTTGTAGCTGATCACACTGTTAATGATACTGATAATTCTAAAGAACATGAATTGACACCTGTTTCCACTCGTACAAGAAGCAGCCAACTGAAACGCCCCAAAATTGGAAAGAGTTGTTGAGTCTGAACCAGAAAATGAGTACATAGAAGGCAAAACTGATACTCGGGACACATCTAAGAAGCTGGAATCTAAAGAACAAATAGTGGAAAACTTTAAGGAACTCATACAGCAACTAGCAGAAGATAAAGACGATAATGACATGGCTAAGCTTCAAGAAGAAATATCTGCTAAACCAGTGGAACAGATATTTGAAGAAACTCAGGACATCCCAAAAATACAAGGCAGCTTGGAGAATAAACAGGACACAGAGACAGAGCCAGTAAACGGTGATATAACAAAAGAATTGTTTCCGTCTGATATGATGGAAGCGCTGGAATTAGCCAACGAGACACTGGATACCGAGTCTAATTTGGAGCCTGCAGATACAGATGAGAAATCCCTGACTACCCTTGTTTCAGTCAGCATGGACCTAGAAAAATCTTTGAAGATTCATTTACTGATCAGGTTCTAAATATAGAAGAGATGGAAACTTCAGAACATAGAACCATGACAGCTGGAATGGTGAACACAGACGTGAGAGAAGATGACTTTAGAGAGAGTTTAGAGGTCAAAGGCACAGAAGAGACTGTCCCAGTGCAAAGTGGAGACTTCTCTGACAACTATCTTACCACTTTTGAGCCAACTCAAACTGCAGACACCACACCTGATGATATGTCAGCCTTGTATACGGGCCCCCATGGAGAGACAGTCATTAACGTCACAGAGAAAGCATTGCCAGTTCTTCGGCAAGGCCCTTTACTTGTGGTGGAACTTGAAGATGTAGCTTTCCAACAATCAGATGTACAAAAGAGCCATTCTGGAGAATCAACTGTGGAGATGGATCAGTCAGATGTTTCAGCACAAAAATCGGTGGAGATTGGTGGAGAAAGTAGCTCTGAGGAAGCAGAAACAGAGACCCCAGTAATAGAGAGAAGGGGTTTGCACAGAAAGGCAAGGGGGATCAAAGGACCTGCAAAGAGAAGAACCAAATTATCAGTTTAGAATCATTGATTGATTGTTATTCACACAATATTTGTAAAACAGAATAATCTAGAATTTAGTTATTCGTTATAGGTCACAGGCATTTGTAATTGTACAATTTTAAAGTTTTCTGGTTGATGTTAAATGCTCTTTTTGTTGTTCTTTGATTTGTGTGTTTCTGTTTCTGTGAGTTTACCCATATTCCCAATCTACCCGTTATACAGACTAAACAAGCCAATAGCACAACTTCCGATCAAACTGATAATGTGAGTGGTCTGTTCTAAGTATAAGACTTGAAGCAGGGGTAGCCATCAGGTTGCTCAGCAGCTCTTTCAGAACTGTAACTCTAGTTTGACAGTTATCATTCCACTGCTGTAACGCTATCTATTGGAACCCTTTGGATATAGTCTACATTCTCAGAGAAAATTATTTGAAAGTTATCGCATCTCCTATTACTTTCCGCAAGAATTTTGAAAGGTTTTTGTGACTACAAAGTTTGTCAGTAGGTGGGCACACTGTATAAGTACGCACACTAAAATATGCGCTATTTGTTTTTAAGAAAGCTACTTTTTCTGGCAATTTACAAGCAGAATACAAACATTTTACCTACTGACATTCACAATCATGTGTAAGCAGTAATATTGCTGATATTGCATTTTTCTGAAAATGAGTCAGCCATAAATATCAGTGGAAATCAGGGCTTGACGTTGCCACAAATTAGACATATTTCAATTTATATGTCAAAACTATTTTGGGCAGGGTTTGAAAATGAAAAGTCATAATGCTCCACTTTGTAGAGAAATGTTGTTTCTGTATTAAAGAGGGATATATTTACAGTTATCTGTTCCATTTAATGTGGAATTGTCGTTTGAAATTTTCTTTGCATAACTTTGCATTTAAGAATAGTACGTATATCTGTAATAACTGTATAAAGATCTGTAAGTATTATCTCATCATGGAGGTAGCCATCTTGGATTTGCAAAATAATTTCCAAAATCTTTGTGACCATTGCTGTTACGTAAAGTATGTGCTAAGACATAGCCAATAAGGGCCTGAGGTAGGTTTTGATAGAAGATCTGCTTAGCACTTAGCATTATACTTGAACAGGGAAGAAGATAATGTTGGTTCAATAAATACTTTTGAGTGCCATATGGAAGTCCATATTGCTATAAATATTTTATTCAGTGTTATTAAAAAATAGCAAACATCTTTAAATAAACAACAAAGTTTTGGACACTATTTAACCTTCTATATTACAGTGCAAATAACATTTATATTAAGGGAGCCACTTCAACTTTGACAGAACCATTTATTATGGATGATATTGCTCATTACATGAAAAAAAAATCATTTTTTTTTTGTTTTACTTAGAAAAGTACATGAATATTATGGTTTAATTTTTCCATATTTTATAAGATATGTTATAGAGGTATGATGTTAATAGTGTTATTTTTAATCTACAGTTTAATTAAACAAATGTTTTTAGATTTGCTTTAAAAAAAAAAAAAGGACCATTTTTGTTGTTTCCAAAATACATCTATCTCTAGGCTTCTTGTATTGTCTTACTGGGGCATGGGTTTAATACATGGGGTTAAGTAGGTAGAGTCAAACACCAGGGGTTGAGTCTGCTGCCACACCATCTTGATAATTCACCAGTTGCCACTAGCTGCAGTGAGTAAAGATAATGTCACTAATAATAAAAGCTACACAGTTAAGACTGCAGTTCATTCCTCTATGATGTTGAAGGAAACTTTATGTCTTGAGTAATGTATATAAGCCTATCTAGTATCTGGCTGAGGTCAGAAGCAGCATACTGGGCGAGAAAAGTTGCAAAATGGAAGAGAGCCAAGATGTTAGATTTTAAAAGTATATTTGTATTGATTTGTATGTAATCATCCTACTAATGGAAACTTCAATTAATTAATCTCTGGCCTCCTGTTTTGGACTTTGCCCAAGATAAAGTCCAAAAAATCCCCTTTAAGTTCCTTATAATATTCAACTAATATTAAATATACACATAGTAGACATAAAAAAATTTGTGGTTGCAATGGTATTTTGCCTATGTAGTCGACTGCAGAATATTGTTAAGAGATATAATACCCAAAATCCACCTACACAAATATCCATGCTTGCACTCCAATGTCCAGAATTTAGCCACTCTATTTAGCTTACTTTCTGGTGTACAGGAAACAAGCTCCTATAGAATATACTGACAGCACATGATAGCTCTACATAATGGAAATCATTTCAAAGAGGTCTAATATGACTGCAGGGTCCCACTTCTCTGACAAACAGGCTTGTTGATTTTTGAGAAAAATATAATTTAAAGGAACACTATAGTCACCTAAATTATTTTAGCTAAATAAAGCAGTTTTAGTGTATAGATCATTCCCCTGCAATTTCACTGCTCAATTCACTGTCATTTAGGAGTTAAATCACTTTGTTTCTGTTTATGGAGCCGTAGTCACACCTCCCCTGGCTATGATTGACAGAGTCTGCATGAAAAAAAAAACTGATTTCACTTTCAAACAGATGTAATTTACCTTAAATAATTGTATCTAAATCTCTAAATTTAACTTTAATCACATACAGGAGGCTCTTGCAGGGTCTAGCAAGCTATTAACATAGCAGGGGTTAAGAAAATCTTAATTAAACAGAACTTGCAATAAAGAAAGCCTAAATAGGGCTCTCTTTACAGGAAGTGTTTATGGAAGGCTGTGCAAGTCACATGCAGGGAGGTGTGACTAGGGTTCATAAACAAAGGGATTTAACTCCTAAATGGCAGAGGATTGAGCAGTGAGGCTGCAGGGGCATGTTCTATACACCAAAACTGCTTCATTAAGCTAAAGTTGTTCAGGTGACTATATTGTCCCTTTAAATTGAGTTTTAATGAAATGCTGTGCTTCTTCACATATTGCATACATTGAAAATGTTTATAATATATAATATATATTCCTGAGTCCTAAGCACTACCAAGCCTCAATAAGCAAACCAGTAACCAACCTCATGCTGATGATTTGCATTAACAATGAAACAGCTGTCCATGAGTGGTTCGCTGGCTTTGCATCTTTCCCTAAGTTGTGTTTCAAAGCTGTTTTATACAGCAAACACAGACTCAAAGGAATCCATGTTTAAAATGGAATGAAGCAAAAGTGTGATTCTTTGTAAAACTAATTTGCATATGCCCACCCAGAATCCTTTGCAGTAGTAACATCACTGCAGATTTGTGATTTCTGTGGGAAAAGCAAGTCTTATGGCTTGACTGGTGTGCAGATTTTTGTTTAACATTGTATTAACTATCGACAGACTTTTCAGGTGGATGGGATTTTCAATCACAATTTTTTTCCCCACCATAACTTTTTGGGTTTTTACTTCCCAAGCACTGCCAAGCCTCACTAGCCAGCCAGTAACCAACCTCATGCTGTTGATTTGCATTAACAGCAGTTGTAATATCACTGCAAATTTGTGATTTCTGTGGGAAAAGCAAGTCTTATGGCTTGACTGGTGTGCAGATTTTTGTTTAACATTGTATTATATATACACACACAAATATATATAACTTGATGGCTCTGCAACTCTCTATGATTAGTTCTACCATGAGAAACTATATGAAATCAACAGTAACGATGTCCTTTTTTGGTTTAGTTTAGTACATGTAGCCATAAAAATATTTTCATGATATCTTTACTAAATTTGACTGCAATGTAGGGTCCATTATAAAGGAATTAAGCAATGAATTGCTGAAGTAATCTGGAAAAAAAAATCTAAATTTGGATTAGTCACTATAGAAACTAGAAGGCTACGTATGTAGGCTCTGAGCATTTTAGCTCAGTCCCAGTTTGAAATTTTAATATATTTATGAATGCAATTGCATGGGGTACCACTTGTCTCACGTAACCCTGTAGCACACAGTATTTATCAGCACAGTATTTATCTGCAATAAAATTGGAAAAGCTAACCTTGAAGTTGCAGGTGTGTACTAAAATCCCAATGAAGCCCAGTCAATATGAAGATATTCCATCAGTGTCCTAAACTATAGTTACAAGGCAAATACCACATTTGCAGTCATGACCAGTCATTGGATAGAAAATAGCCAGTTCAGTTGACTAATCTATAATCCTTGATTAACAAAAAAATGCTGTGTTTAGCGACAGTGATGCATCAGACTTTTTACCACATTTACCTGCAGAATACAGACTTGGTACAGAATACATCCAGCTTAGCTGAAACGACTACTCAGGTTAGAATGATCTAGAAAGGTCGCCCCAGGCCCCCGCAAAAAGAATATTTAATAACAATATAATCTTTATGACATACTCATATTGACTGTGTTGGGATTCCACTGAAATTACAACCCTGTCAAAATATATACAGAGACAAAGTAGGGACTACTTTGTCTCATTATTTTTCCTCCATGTAACACACCTTGACAGACGGAAGAGCTATCGCTTTTAAACTGTATAATTTCCCCCAGCCATCACCACTGATTAGCTCTTTCTAAGGAGGACCCCACTCACAGGATTCTCCATAGGTATCAATGCTGTACTCTTGCACATGTGCAAGAGTACTGCAGTGATGTTGGCTCCTTGCAGCTAAAGAGTCAAGACAATGGCGGCAGCCATGATGGACAAGTTTAGGTAAGTAAAACTCATCTTTCCCTCGCCCCGTAGCCACCTTGCCCTCTGTGGTGATGTAACTATTGGGGGTCTTGGCAAATTATTAGTGAAATATTGGTTTTAGACCAAACAGTTGTTGCTCACTCAACTTTTGTGACTGGGACAACATATCATTCTTCAAGGTTCTCTTTTTGTTTTGGACTTTACTCTTGTTGACACATATAAGAACTTGCCAATGGCATGCAAACATTCACAGCTGGATCAAATGCAACAAAACAACCTAAAGTTTATATAATAGGAATCTTCTTTTACTAACAATCTTGGACAATTTCATAATAACAGACCGTAATACTCATGAACAAGATATGTCATAGTTGAACACGGTTTATCAAACATTAATCTTGTGAAATGGATTGACAGTCACTTTTGAGACTGTGCCTTGTCCCCTATAATATATTGATGCCTACAAAACAAAGTGCTCAGGCCCCTCAAAGTACTTTTCTATGACCACCTCAAGGGGTCTTGCAAACTTTAGAAAAATGAGTATAACCAGAGAAAGTGAACTGGAGTCCAAGCAATCCTTAATTCACACATGTACAACAAA